CACACATTTCTACCATTTATATGAATGATTTTCGTTTGTCCACTCCTAACCTGTCCCAGCTCCTCGTTGAGGTCTGAAGTGTTGACCAGTGCCCCTTCCTTGATTTCTGGGTCAAAGAAGTCCTGGTCCCATGTGATGAAATAGGATCCCAAAAACTTTTGCATCTCAACCGTCACGTACATTGAAACTGGAATGATGAAGTTGAAGAGCACCATGAAGGACAGGAAGTCGGTGAACATCTTAAGGTACTGTTGGGGTAAACAAGAACACAGGCACATGTTTAAATATATTTATGTTATAATCAAATCTCTGAGAACATAGTGCCTATCTGAAAGAATAAATGTTAGAGTGCATTGATTCATTAATCAATAAGATGTCATACTCATAACTAAAATTAAAATAAGTGCATATCCATCATGTCTGTGATGTCACAATGTTATATCACCATGTTTGCAGGTCATTGAAGGCCAAGGCAGTGGGTTAACAACCAATGAAATGGACTATGTCACAATATAGGTCTGCAGTGGCCATTTTGCAGAGAAGGGTTTTACTGGTGCTGATTAAGAGGCAAGGGCATGTAAAACACTTTAACATGGTGGATGGAGCTTTACTCCCAGGTGTTAAAGCCCTGACTCACCAGATGATCAGTATTTACCATTATACACATTATAATATCCTGATGCAATGCTAGCAACACCCATTAGCTATTCTACTCACAGCAGGGGTAATCCCCATGAAGCTCAAGACAAGTATTACTCCACTTATTTCACTTCCAGCTGCTAACATCCTAATAGATAATATATTACTAAGAACTAATATAAGAGGGTTGAAATAAGAAATATTTTTGACTGTGTATACAATACAGGAGCCTCTAAGACACCTGACTTACAGGTGATTTTTTTCCAGAAGGACAGGCAGGTTGCTAGAATGTGTACTTACTAAATTGGCGTCCTTCTCTCTCTGGGTTTTCTCATTGTACCAAGGCTCATCTTGTCCGGGTTTGCTTTGCCACACATACTTAAGTGTCGTGCACACTAGGGCCTTGCTCACCAATATGCAGAGGTAAACAAGAAGGAACGCATTGATAGACCTGAAAATATAAGAGATATCATTAATGACTATCAAAGATGAATCAGATATTTTTTAATTACTCTTTTAACTTGTTTACACCTTTTCTTGAGGTACTTACTTCTCTACAGCAGAGCGTTTCTGAGACTTTCCCTGGTAGTTGAGAGCCATCTTTGTCTCCATGCCAGTGTAAACTGCAACACCTTGAGAAGGCAAGAGAGAAAGTAAAAAGAAAAGGGGCTAGTTTTTAGATACTGGGCCATCTTCACAAATATCCTGCAAGTTATTGTAACAACGTCAATATCGTTTGACTCACCACGGATTTTCTGAGTGTTCTTTAAAGTTGATCCTTTCAGCAGTAGGTTTTCTGGGCCCAAAGATCTGCACAATCACATCAGTACATCAGACAATTCAGTCAGACAGAATCCGTGCAATTCACACACGCACTCCTATTTTCTAAATGGAAACCTGGCAGGCAAGTTGGCATCCACTCTAAAGTACGCAGTGACAATACACTGTATGACTGCAGTCTGGGCTTATAACAGTCCCAGCGTTCTTGGGAAGGACACTGGCATTTGTCTGTATGGCCATTACAAAACAGTCATTGATAAATGCCTGTGGGAGTGCTTTGGAAGCAGTGGCTGAAGCCATGCCAAGCCTGTTTTAATTTTTATGCTTGTTTGCAATTAATGATCAATGGAATAATGATTTGTTGGTGATGCAAAGGGAAACAAATGAGTGCTTAAGCAACTGTGTTTTGATTTTGCTCTCACTTAAAGTGGTCTGAGATGGTTGTGCATGAGTGCTCTTACCTCACTGCAGGCTCCTGGTTATTTGTGTAGATGTGCATACGGCCAACAAATCTGGAACAAAAGCCCATACATACTGCTGATCATCACACAAATCAAGAAATTTTAAAAAGTACATGTGACATTTGTTTTGCATATTAATCAATCGGTTAAAACTAAAGTAGAGTGGTGAATTTGAGGATCAAAATGCATTCCGAGGTCATTTACTTCACAAGACATCAAGTACTTGGCCTAAAAGCAGGTGGAGGCGATTGGGAGCCAAATAATTACAGGTAGTTAGCCTGCAGCCTGCTGTCAGTTTAATTGAGTCGGAATAGTGAGCATTTGGCACCATGGCTTACTTAGCACATCTCAAACACCATTATGAGGTCTGGCCTAATATTCAAACTCCTTGCCCAAAGGGGGAGCCAAAGGCTGTCTGTTGACTGAGATGGGATTTCTACAAGTGAATAAGAATCACATAACATCCATGCCAGGCAAACCAAAGACTACTGTAAATACCCGGCACATTTTTAAGATTGCAACTATGAGACCAACCAAACAAAGTGTACACAGTGGCTTACCAAAACATCTCCACTTAATCTACAAGTTAATATTAGAGTCACATGAGACATTTTCTACTCATACTGAGTTAATCCATTTCCCAACAAAGAACAGGCAATGTTTCTTGTAGTGTAAATCCTCTGGGACTGTATGATGAGTGCCTACTTGTAAAGGTCAGGCTGTGGCTGTTCACACTCAATGGTGGCATTAAGGGATTCCAGATCCCTCTCTATGTCTGGCACTGTGTAGTGTGTCTGGACAAGGGGAAGAGACAGAGTTTGAGTTGTGAGTATGATCTGACTTAAGTCAAGTGAAAATTGTAACTTCCCCCTAACTCTCACACAAAGACATTACATAAAACAGGAAGACATTTTCCAAGATATTTTGACACTAAGAGGAACCTAAATATTTTTGGAAATAGACAAGACAGAAACTTAACTTATAATTTTATGACTGTATTAAAAACATTTCATTTCATGAGATTACTTTCCCTGTTGTAAATAGTTATGTCTTGTTTCCCAGTCTGTGACACCCATATAGATTCAATTCCCTAGTTTCTAACTATGTTGTTATCAATAAAGGGTAAAACAGTAAATCTTACTTTATGGTTGGACTCGCCATCCAAACTTGCTGTGGTAACGAAACATGTATCGTCATCGCGGCACGACTGCAGGAGTATCAAATCACAGGGAAAGGTCTGATCTTCCTCCACCTCCACAACATCTCCAACCTGATCAAAGAAACAACTAAAGTCAACCAAATCTCACTAAATACTTTTCACAAATAGCTTCTTTCTACCTCCCATAGCACATCACTAAAAAATTATTGTGGCTCTCTTTGGTTTGGTAAAATAATGTTGGGTTAGCTCTTGACCCTTTAGCACTATAGGAGGTACCCAACAGTTAGTTTATGTGAGTTCCTGTGATGAGAGCAGCTGTCCCAACTGTTTTCGTTTTGACAGCTGTATGCTGATTCTCAGTGGTGTCACTGAGCACCAGTTGCAACTTACCACAACCAGGAGTCGCTTGGTTTATGTTAAATATAAAATTACTGTTTAAGGCATTTCTTAGCTTTTGAAAAGACATTCATCTTTGAAAATATTGTTACCTTTAGGATAAATTAAGTACTATCACAGCCATGTTTGAATGTCTAATCAGTTCAGTAGACAGAGCATTTTTCCCCTGTGCATATATCTCAAACTCAGTCATGCCAAGCTGCAGAAATCTTATCTCAAGCCATTTCTCTAAGGAAATACTCATTCCAGTGGATCTAAGCTAAGATGTGGCAGCTGAAAGGTACCTTGATCTTCTCGCTCTCCTTCAGTATCCTGCGGCCATCCTCTAGCACTGTCACTGGGTACTTATTCACCTCATTGTCAGCCTTGTGCCGTAGCCAGTCCTCATAGCCCTGTGGCAACATTTCAAAATCAGAAATGTGTTATTTGCTCAATACAACTAAAAGTACAAAATCCATGCAGCCTGGGATATTAAAAGCTAACACAGTGACATATATACGTACATTCCTTCACACTGACAATCAACAGAAGAGTGTAAAACATTATGAAATGCTTATCGGTATGATATAATCTTTATATTTTGCATTTCATCGCATTGTGAAAAAGGACTGCAGCAGCAGAATTGGTTCAGCAGTGTACTGGAACAGTATACCATGAAATAATACTGAGTCGAGTAAAAAAAAAAAGAAATTCATGGGGCTGCAGCAGCATAGGGCACAAAGCCTAGTGTAGACTTCATAAGTACTTAAAGATAGTAATGGAGATAGAGGCAATGGTGCAGAGATGCAGAGGGAGACCACAGTGGGTGCCAAGGCGGAGCTTGAGCCAGAAATCAGGATTAACAGGATAGGAAGAGACAGAAAGTCTGGTTGATTGATGCAGAGAAATTATGCCAGGTGGATGACAACATCTGCATTCCGTGGATGGTCTGTTGAACTATACAGTTCACTTCTGCCTGACTAATATAGGGTCAGACAGACCACCTTGGAGACCCACTTCAAAGTCTGGCTGAAGGCAGTCCAGCGCTAGCAGCGCGCCCCATATATTTTCACAAGGAAGTCCGCCCACTATTGTGCTAACTAAAAAGCCGAACCTAAAACAATATATTTAAAGCTGTGTTGTGGGAGCAACAGATTTTAAAAAACAGATACTCCCCTTGATAAGTTGTATCGCTTTAATAGTCTCTCTCTCTCTCTTTCTTTATGTCTCCATTTTCATACACTCCCAGAGAGCCTACTTCATCTTTTCCTTAATCAGAATCATGCACCAGCAGAGCACATTAATAGAAAACCCAAGAGAGCATTAGTCATTAGTCATATACTTAATACTAAAATCACAGCAAGGGAGTTATGAGGGCAGGGAACTTATATTATGTTATATTTAAAGAGGAAGAATATAATGCAATGACAGACAATATGAGGAAATGAGGACAGGGTTAGCCTGAAAACCAAACCAATCAGCAAGCTCAAGTTATTTTCTCTTTTAGATGGATTTCTCCCCCCCCCGTTTAAAACACGTTACCATCCTTCCTGAACCATTTATCTAAAATGGGGCAGGTTTGATACGATGTATGAGAAGGGAGGGCTGCTGAGAAATTTTCATTAGCAACCAAGATGACTGCCACTGGTGTGGCAACGTCTGTTGCATCCACTGTTGTGACAGTATTAAATGAGGTACAGAATATTTTCTCTAACATAAAAATAAACAACTGCAGGTGAAGTGCTTCTTCTTTTACATCCTGCTATGTCAGATGTTTCAGTTTTTTTGCTGTGATTAGTGGAAGGTACTTTTCCTTACGTATTTGTCCTGTATTATTAAGGTCACTGTGTGGCATTTGTCCAAGCATCTGGACACAGGTCACACTCACATGTGATTATTTATAGACAATAGTTCATTGTCTTGAATCTGGGATAGCTGTGAAGCTACTTATCCTGTAGATAGCAATAACAAACAGCCAATGTCTCAATGTCTTATTGGCACTTAGGTAATAGAGATATACCATGCGAGGGTTGTACATTGTGAGGTTTAGATGTAAAGTGTAGTCTCTGGTATTGTTGTAATAGCATTACACCTTGTTAGCTTGTATTGCTCATTTCTCTTCTCAATGCATCGCTCATCAATAAACTGTGTCTGCTTAAAGCTTCTGGGTCTCCTGGATCTTCTTTCAGCAGCTCACTAGCTTCTCCATCACACACTAGGACAGTATGTCTGTGACTGTTGACTCCACTTGGAAATCGACAATGAACTGAGAGGCTCCAGATGCATTAGCAAATACATTCGGTCTTGAGATGCCAGGCTAGGACAAGAAATATCAATTTAATGTTTAATATTATTTTTCAGGGGGCAGCGTCTTACCTGCTTGATAGCTGTTACTGTGATCACAAAAAATAAGGGTATGCCACTGGTGACTGGGCTGGTGGGAGTGTCAACTATCACCTAAAGAGGGAGAAAAACAATCAATTTAGAGAAATGCCCAGTTAACAGTCAATGATAAACATATGACCTACAAACTGAAAAGCTATGCACTGACTGCTATACACCACAACAAAGTCTTGCTGCAGCACATGTGGTTACAGAGGGAGGAGTGTGTGGTGACGGTTAAGACGATGGTGCAGGCTCTCTGAATGCTGGGTGTAGTCTGTTTCTCTAAGGCCTACAATTCCCTAAATTCTTTCATCAGTACAAATCCCGATATTTCAGTTTGAAGGGAGGGAGCACACTGTGTGTGAGGGAATCTGTGTTGCTGTTTTTGTATGGGTATAGCTAGAAAAAGTACAGGACCAGCGATCAGGTAAATCCTGAGCAGTTTAGAAGCAGCACCTGACCAAGGCTGCCAGCTAAAATCCCAGTACACAAATGGCTTGTGAGTGATTGTGTATTTCTAAAACCATCATAAGTTGGATTTAGTCTGGCATTTCTGATCCTGTAGAATGCAAGCTGTTTTCCCCCTGAGCTCATGTGCGTATTACAGTTTGCACAGACACGTCACGTTAAGCTTGTTGTTATATGGACCAGATGCATTACAAGCTTCCAGATACAAATCAGCTGTGTAAGAGCAATAGATGTGTTTTGAAGAAATCTCTGGTGTTCTCCTCACCTGTGCTCAGAATGAGAATGAACCAAACCTGCTGCTATCTCACTAATCACATACAAATAAAAACACAGCCACATTCTGTCCCTGTACAAACACAGAATAAAGTACAAGGGCAGTGAGCTGCTAGCCTACCCAAGCTGTACTGTGATTACAATTAACTGCAGGATAAATCAATTACAACGCTGAGATGGACTAGTGCACATCGACCATTTGGAGGAGTGCAGATTCAGAGGAGAGTCTGCATTATATTTGTAGTAGATAGCAATTCCAGTGAGAAAGAAGTGAAAGTAATAATACTGCCGCAGTAGCCTCACATGCCAGGAGCCAGAGGTGAGAGTCCTCAAAAGAGTGTGTGTGTGTGTGTGTGTGTGTGTGT